AACCACAGGCTCAGGAAGGGGTTTGAAAACTTTTTTATTGCTGTCTTTTGATGCCACCTCTTCTCCTAAGGTATACTCCAGTTTCTAAAATACATAAAACAATTTTAAACAATTCTATAATTTATAATTTAGTTTAACAAACCTGTAATACTACAAACCTGATCTGTTACAAATTTGTTAACATCTTCATCACTGGGCAGAAAGTCCTTCCAGTTCAACCCAGCTTCGGTCCACATAGCCCCAACTTTCTTGGGGGTCTAAAATTTTAAAAATAATTCCCTGTCATAGTTTACCAATGGAATTACAGAACTGTATATAAAACTGGTGTCACCTACCATTCCTTTACAAAGCATGTTTAAGATTTGTACCAGGAGCACACCCGCCTTCCCAAGAGGCACTAGAGGCTTTGAAATCTCCCTAAAATCAAATGAAAAAGTATACTCATTTGATCTGATCTAACCACTTCTTGTGCAAAGTTCATATGAAACACAAACATTTTAATCCTCAAAACAGCGAAAATGTCAAACGAGTTTCCTTCCACTAAACAAACAACGAAACTGTAGCTGTAACAAAATCATTTAGAAAAATAAACCAAAAATACTCTTGGTGATATATCGATAGAGCAGCCCACAATATCGATACTGTGTCATCACATTAAATGATACGATATATCGATATTTCAATATTTTTGCACACCCCTCTACTCTTTATCACACGAAGACCACAGACCATAGTTTAAGGTCATGGTTTAAGGTCAAGGGTATATTTCCTCTGTTATTTCTGGCCATTTTTGTTTTATAATTGAGTTGTTTTGTAAGTGTTGCTGTACTTACTGTTACGCAGATAAAAAGTGCGACCTACTCTGTGAAATCTACTCTGTAAAGTCTCCTCTGTGAAGTCTACTGTTTGAAATCTTTGTACGATTTGCTCTGTGTCAAGCTCAGCTAAATGTGCTTTTTCCGTTAAGCGATATGTGATTTTCGATTTGTGATTTGCGATTTGCGATTTGCGATTTGCCTACTCTTATAATCTCCCCGAGGCCAAACAAAGCTTTGAGTTAAAGCCCACAAAGCTTTGAAGTTTAGCTTTGAGTTCCGGAGTTGCCATGGTAACAAGGCTTTATGGAACTTTACATGTATGATGTCATCGGCGCCGTGAACCTGATGGAACTGGGAGGTTTTCAGGTTCTAGAATGTGATGATGTCATACTCCCAGACGGGGCAAGAGCCACGTTTCCCTGTTGACTGAGGCCGAGTGTTGTTAAGAAGTCACTGATATGAGACAAACCTCGATACAGTGCGCTTTCGATTCGATACGGTTCAGTAAAAAATAAAGGCTAAATCATGGAAAATCTTTGTTAAACCACTTCTTGTGCAAAGTTCATATGAAACACAAACATTTTAATCCTCAAAACAGCGAAAATGTCAAACGAGTTTCCTTCCACTAAACAAACAACGAAACTGTAGCTGTAACAAAATCATTTAGTAAAATAAACCAAAAATACTCTTGGTGACATATATAGCAGCCCACAATATCGATACTGTGTCATCACATTAAACGATACGATATATCGATATTTCAATATTTTTGCACACCCCTCTACTCTTTATCACACGAAGACCACAGACCATAGTTTAAGGTCATGGTTTAAGGTCAAGAGTATATTTCCTCTGTTATTTCTGGCCATTTTTGTTTTATAATTGAGTTGTTTTGTAAGTGTTGCTGTACTTACTGTTACGCAGATAAAAAGTGCGACGTACTCTGTGAAATCTACTCTGTAAAGTCTCCTCTGTGAAGTCTACTGTTTGAAATCTTTGTACGATTTGCTCTGTGTCAAGCTCAGCTAAATGTGCTTTTTCCGTTAAGCGATATGTGATTTTCGATTTGTGATTTGCGATTTGCGATTTGCCTACTCTTATAATCTCCCCGAGGCCAAACAAAGCTTTGAGTTAAAGCCCACAAAGCTTTGAAGTTTAGCTTTGAGTTCCGGAGTTGCCATGGTAACAAGGCTTTATGGAACTTTACATGTATGATGTCATCGGCGCCGTGAACCTGATGGAACTGGGAGGTTTTCAGGTTCTAGAATGTGATGATGTCATACTCCCAGACGGGGCAAGAGCCACGTTTCCCTGTTGACTGAGGCCGAGTGTTGTTAAGAAGTCACTGATATGAGACAAACCTCGATACAGTGCGCTTTCGATTCGATACGGTTCAGTAAAAAATAAAGGCTAAATCATGGAAAATCTTTGTTAAACCACTTCTTGTGCAAAGTTCATATGAAACACAAACATTTTAATCCTCAAAACAGCGAAAATGTCAAACGAGTTTCCTTCCACTAAACAAACAACGAAACTGTAGCTGTAACAAAATCATTTAGTAAAATAAACCAAAAATACTCTTGGTGACATATATAGCAGCCCACAATATCGATACTGTGTCATCACATTAAACGATACGATATATCGATATTTCAATATTTTTGCACACCCCTCTACTCTTTATCACACGAAGACCACAGACCATAGTTTAAGGTCATGGTTTAAGGTCAAGAGTATATTTCCTCTGTTATTTCTGGCCATTTTTGTTTTATAATTGAGTTGTTTTGTAAGTGTTGCTGTACTTACTGTTACGCAGATAAAAAGTGCGACGTACTCTGTGAAATCTACTCTGTAAAGTCTCCTCTGTGAAGTCTACTGTTTGAAATCTTTGTACGATTTGCTCTGTGTCAAGCTCAGCTAAATTTGCCTTTTCCGTTAAGCAATGTGATTTTCGATTTGTGATTTGCGATTTGCCTACTCTTATAATCTCCCCGAGGCCAAACAAAGCTTTGAGTTAAAGCCCACAAAGCTTTGAAGTTTAGCTTTGAGTTCCGGAGTTGCCATGGTAACAAGGCTTTATGGAACTTTACATGTATGATGTCATCGGCGCCGTGAACCTGTTTCAGAGGAGTCATTGCGCCCCTACTGGCCAAACGTGGAAAATGCAGCATGTTCGTAATAGACTTTTTTGCTTGTAATCATGAGAATTTTATTCCCGAATTTGGTACAAATCCAATAATGTAGATGTTTCATGTCTATGCTAGGGGGCGCTATAGAGTTCACTTTTATTAAATTTCATATTTCATTACATTCAGGCCTGGATCACACAGTTGTGATTTTGAATTTGAGTTCTCTAGGACAATGCCTGTGGCCGTGACAGGTCACCGAAAAAACAGGAAATTAAGGCGTTTTTCGCCGGTGTGCTACGGGCGAACCGTAAGGAGTATCCCAAAAAAATTTGGCAACTTCTGTGAGTTTATGTCTGTAGATGTGACATGTCAAATCTGAGCTCATTTGGACCAAACTCCGGGGACTTGAATCTTTTTGTAGACCCCCAAGTCAAAACGGTGGCGAATGTTTGATCCAATATGGCCGACTTCCTGTTCGTCATAGGGGTGCACAATGATTGACTTTTTTGCTTGTAATCATGCCTAGAATTTAATCCCCAAATTTGGTGCTAATCTGATAATGTTGACATTTCATGTCAATGGTAGGGGGCGCTATAGTGTTCACTTTTAATATGTTTTATACTGTTTTATATTCAGGCTGAGATCACACATTAGTGATTCAAATTTCAGCACGATCCGATTAAACATGGGCATGTCATCATTTTTTAACAATTTTTGGGGGGAGTCTTTGCACCCCTGCTGGCCAGTGGTGGAAAATGCATCATGTCCGTAATAGACTTTTTTGCTTGTAATCATGTCTAGAATTTAATCCTTGAATTTGGTACTAATCCGATAATGTTGATGTTTGTCAATGCTAGGGGGCGCTATAGAGTTCATTTTTCATATGTTTTATAGTGTATTATATTCAGGCCGTGATCAGGCATTAGTGATTCAAATTTCAGCACAATCGGACTAAGCCTGTGGGTGTAATAATTTTTTTAATATTTTTTTGGGGGAGTCTTTGCGCCCCTGCTGCTGGCCAATAGTGGAAAATGCATCATGTCTGTAATAGACTTTTTTGCTTGTAATCATACATAGAATTTATGTCCCGAATTTGGTACAAATCCGATAATGTTGACGTTTCACGTCTATGCTAGGGGGCGCTATAGAGTTCACTTTTATTAAATTTCATATTTCATCACATTCAGGCCTGGATCACACAATTGTGATTTGAATTTGAGTTCTCTAGGACAATGCCTGTGGCCGTGACAGGTCACCGAAAAAACAGGAAATGAAGGCGTTATTCGCCGGCGTGCTACGGGCGAACCGTAAGGAGTATCTCAAAAAAAGTTGAAAATTTCTGTGAGTTTATGTCTGTAGGTGTGACATGTCAAATCTGAGCTCATTTGGACCAAACCCCGGGGACTTGAATCTTTTTGTAGACCCCCAAGTCAAAACGGCGGCGAATGTTTGATCCAATATGGCCGACTTCCTGTTCGTCATAGGGTCATGCTCCAATTCATCTTTTGGTTTGTTCTCTATCACTGTCCCGAATTTCGTTTCCCTGCGACAAACTATGCCTGTCCCCACTCCCATAGGGGTCCAATTCTAGGTGGCGCTGTTGAGTTGGGTCACTCGGGTCATTGTTGCGATGCCCATTTTATCGAATTTTTCGCCGGGCCGATCGATCTGGACCCCGGTTTGGGGACTTTTCGATTTTCGTCGATGTTCAGGGGGTCAAAAATGCGATCGTTTGGTCAAAGGAAAAAAATAAATAAAGAAACCGACGAAGAACAATACCCCTCGCCCCTAACTTTGTTAGTGGCGAGGGCCAAAAAGTTAGGGGCGAGGGCCAATGAGAAAATGTTGAAGATTTAAAGAATGATTTTAAAATTCATTGTACTTTTATCTTCCAAATACAACAGTTCCTCTAAAAACCCACTGATTCACTGTCACATGTCACCAGTTGTTTTTATGATCAAATTTCTCTTGTGAATTTAAACACACACCAAAATCAGATCTAATATTGGGATTATTCTGACCATGTAAATGTATGCAGTGATTCACACAGAGGTTTATGGTAAATAATATTTTAATGTTCTGTCTCCATCTCCTGTTATACTTATAATATCAAACATACAGGCGTTGTGGTGAATTGTGTTTAATGTAAGAATAATTCCACTATAGTAAAGTTCCCTCTATTTCCACTGGGGGTCACTGTTCTTCAGATTCACTGTGGTCTTCGCTATCTGTTATTTGAACCACTGGAATTTGGTCTCCCCAATCACTGCTGCGTGCACATCTGTACACATCTCTGAAACACAAAATGTAGATTATTTTAACATGCACAATAAAGCTGTTATTATGTATATATGCACAAAAAACTACCATATAATGTTTGGAATTCTTATCAATGATCCATGGTTCTTTTATTTGATTGTAAGAAAAATGCAGGGTGACATAACATTAAAATGTATAAATACAAATATTAATACTATATGTTGTGGGAATAAATCTATAGCAGTGGACCTCAACTTTTCACACCACCAAAACAAAAGACTTTGCTTTCTAACTACTACCAATCAACAACTTGAATGCCATTTTATTCTTAATTACAGAAACACTGGATGTGATTATGGTCAAGTTGTTTGTTATACTTTGGTGTTTTGGTTCTCAAGATTGGCTCTCCCTCAGTCAGCTCAGTGAGGGAATTCTGGAGGTTTTGAGCTTTCACATGAGGCATGGGCTGTCCATATACTGAGAATGAGACAAACTCGTGTGTCCTCTATCTGCAGTACCTTTTTTTAACTATAGAGGGCAGGCTACAGTTTCTTACCTCCCGTGTTTTCTGGGAGTCACCACCACATGCTGTAACTGTCCATCTGTGCAGCACATTCTGCAATGAACGTGACGAGTCCGAGGCAGAACCGGAGCAATGAGCCGGGCCCAATCCAATCCAGGGTCCAGACCAGAGTCCAGACCAGGGACCAGGGATTTGGGATCAGCTCGAGTAAGAATCAAGTAACTAAACTTTTCAGTCAGGTGAGAAATTTGCTGCAAAACAAAGTTGCACAATTAAAACTGCATTCCACATCAAAACTTTCCTGGTTTGATCGAGGTTTAGTCCTGATGTAGACTTGGTTTGGTTCTGCTCTAGTACAGGTTTCGTTCAAGATTTAGTCTCAGGTTAGACTAAATCTAACTAGGACTAAACCTCGATCAAACCAGGACAAAATATGCAACAACTTAATAAACAACACAGAGGTTGATATAGTTCTCTTGTATTAAAACTCAATCCTCATGCCTCTTTTTTCAACCCTTGGGTTGAAAAAAGTTGTAGTGTAATTTATTCTACAACAGTCGTTAAATGTAATATAGCTAATGATAAACACAAATTAGCACTAGGTCTAATTTTTTAAATGTTTTTTTTTATTTAGTTAGTTGTTTACTTCAAACCTGCACATACAATGTGCTTGTTTTGTAAAACCAATGAAGAAATAGAATTATGACTAAATGTACTGTATAAAGTAAAATATAAAAGGATATAAGGAAGTTGAAGTCTCACCCCAGGCAAAGATAGTGTGTGGTATTTCTGCTGGAAGTTACAGGGAAAAACAGGTTCTTTGGTCAGTTTCGGACACATCATTTCGTGAGGACACTGAAAGAAAAACATATATTATGAGAAAAAATAGGTTTCATATTGAGAGATGTTATTGCCTAGGCTGGCATGTTCCACCCTGTGGCATTTAAATATATCTATTTCCATGGAGACAAGCAGGTGAAAACACTGGGTGAAATTACAAGAACACTGGGCCAAATTACAAGTCATATCTGCAGAGAGGTAACCCAAGATCACACTCAAAAGAAAGCATGTTTTTCAAAATATCTTAAAACACCTACAACTGAATCAATGTAAGATGGATGAGTTGTGAGAGAAATGCTATAGTGTCGAACATTACAGACAAGGCAAGAACATCACCATGGAGACAAGGAGATGGTATGCCCATCATGTACCTTTAATAGAGTAAATATAATAAAAATAAAACTGATTTTCACTTACAGGAGCAAACACTGAAGCTGGTCTGAAGTCATGGACAATCTTTTCTTGTTTCTGGAAAAATACAATTATAGATATTTTTACCAAGTGATTTTCTGCATTATACATTTTACGAACAACAGTTCTTTCCAAAGTGCTGCTCATGGTGATTTGCATTAGTCATATTTTACTCACATTTAGTAAAGTGTCTCTGGCCTCCATGAGCATCTGATGTCCCTCTTTGGTCCCATTCTCCACAAGCACCTGAAAAAAGCAAAGGGGGAAATCACGAGTAACATCTATTACTTATTTTGTTTTTGTTGATTTTTTGTTTTGCTACGTGCTAACCCTGTAGATTAGACCTGTACAAACATGTTAGAAATGCACAGGATTCTCGTATTAGTTTGTCAGTTTAGTTACTTCAATTTCAACTCAATATTTTCTAAAATGATTCAGCCTTTGCACTGACAAATCAACGCTATTTACTCTTAAACTTAAGTTGCTCTTACTTGAGTACTTTTCACAAATACCTTTTTTATTTGTTACTTTGTACTTCTACTCAAGTAATATTATTTTGAAGTAGTGTTACTCTATCTTTAGTACAATTTTTGACTTCTCTCCCACCTTCAATTCTATAAACAACAAAGCTACACTCCGCATCACATTACAGCATGCATAAAGAATTGCATTACTTGTATGATGTTTTAAAAGCTTGTCAAATGTGCACACTATTCTAGAAATGGTGACTTTAAAATACATATAAAAATATAATACAGTAAGTACAAGTCAGTTTAACAGATTCTTTGCACAAACCAGATATCTGTTTGTTTTCCTCCACAGAGTGAGCACTACATCTTCTCTGTCGGCTGCTTTGGGGAGTTCGGAGAGAGTGAACGCTGCTACCACCAAATCGAACTGCACCTGCAATCACAAAACACGAGCTATTAATCGAGTCATAACAATACAAATAATAATTACATATCAATTATACATATTTCTAAAGGTATTTAGACTTCAGTAGGTAGAGGCACTAGAGATATAATGAAGGGACAGTATAATAGATATGTTAAAGATGCGCTATGTAACTTTTCTGGTTTTACACCAATCTGGTTTACAGATCGGTGACAAGGCGACACCCACTCGTAAAGATGCATTCGTCAAGGCATATTTTTAGCAATTAAAGCGCAAGGCTGTGATGGGCTGACAGCGTAACAGGAAATAGGAGAACATACATTCTTCCTGGTTGATTTTAGCTTTATTTAAAAATGAACTTACTTTTGGAGACACTGGAAGGAACTGTCTGAAATAGACATGTTTGAAGTGTGGTTCTTCTTTTTCGTTGTCACCTGTCACAGACACACTTTACAAACACCACGCCAGAAAAGATTGGACTTTACAGAGCACTGTCACAACACAATCAGCGTGCACCCCACTAATGAAACTAGAGCACATCGCATCTGGTTTGTGGTGTTGAGTGTATTCTTACATGACTATGAGAAGAAGCATTTGTCACAATCTTAAAATTCAATCCAAAAGGGATTTAGACAAAATGGGTTAAACAATCTCAAATCTGAAATGCTACTGATACAGATTACTTGATTGCACCTGATAATATCTGTTTTACCTTTCAGTAGCCGCTCTGCTAAAGTGTTCATGGGCCCAGAGCTGTCCACACAAACCATCTCCTTCAGAGAGTCAGGCCAACATGAATGAGATGCCCTGAAGGAAAAGTATAGATAAGAAAAGGAACAACATCTGTGAAGGACTGTAGCCTGTTTATAAAAGTGTAGTACAGACCAAGCAACTGTTCCCAGGCCTGATCCAAAATCCAAAAGAGACTCCGGAGCGAAGGAGGTGTCTCTCTTCTTTATCTGAAATGGAGACAGATCATTTATTTACTGTGAACAAAACTAAGTAAAATGACTCTCCCTTTAGATCAACATATCTGTATTCTCTATGAAAATGTGACTCTTATATGGTCTGGAGCAGGGTCTTACCTGCTTGTTTTCATGGAGATTTTGTTCCTTCTGCTATAATATTCCACAGTATGTCAACTTCTATCTCCACGGAGAATGTTACAAAGTATGGCTTTAAGTATATTTATATGGCATCATGTGTTTCCACCCCCAGTTACATACTACCACTTTAACTGTAAAATGTTTTTGCATTGTGTAACTTTTCTGTGGAGGGTCCATCAAATGCTTTTCTCCATGGAGATGTTATTGTTTTGTCTGTAATGTTTCACAGTATGGCATTAAACCTTTCTATCTACACGGAGACCAAAACAGACCAAGTTACAGGTCAGATCTGTGAAGAGGCGACCCCGCTCACAGTCAAAATGCCTGTTTATCTTGGAATTTTTGAGCTATAAAAGCACCTGTAATTGAATAAATGTAAAGTAGAGCTATTTAATGTCACACTGAGGAACATTCCAGGCAGAGCAATTACATATCCATGGAAACAAGCAGGTGACGGACCCCCTACCATAAAGTGACAGTACAGACCTCATTGAGCGCTCTCCTCACTGCAGCATATCCTCCAGCCAAACGAGCCGCCATGTAAATCACTCCCATCTCCTCGTCGAATCTGGAACAGTTATTACAGAACAAGAAGAAATACGCAATTAGTTTCATATTAATGACTTTGCGTATCCATGCCTTTCAGATAAAGCTGTCACGATAACACATTTTAAAGAGTGATATAATGCTATAGAACGATACCGAAACTACTTCATGCAACTGACACAGGAGCCCACAAGAAGGCTCATCTCTTTTAAATGAAGCGATAAAAACATGAGCTGCAAATATAACACCTTTTGAATCGGCAAAAGTCCTCAAAGTATCACAGGAAGCTGAAACCCATGAGTCCCACAGTAAAAATGTTGCATCATTATCTCAAGGTTTTTACAATAGCAAAACCAATCCTCTGGTTCATGTGTAAATGCTTAACCCACTGTGCCACTGAGACTCTACATTAATTTGAGGGTGTTGGCTGTGATTACATGTGAAATGTGATGATTAACAGATTTTTAGAGTGATAAGATTACTAAAATGACATGTAAAGTGCTAAAGCATCTCGTTTTCTTTCAGATCATGGTCTTGCTGAGATAAGATCAGATAGGCATACATGCAATTTAAGACAGTAATCTAAAAAGTCCAGAAATCAGATAATAATCAGATTTTGGTGTACATGTAACTGCAACCAGTGTTGGGGAAAAAAAAGGGAAATTGAGTGTTTTACTTGAGCTGTTTCCAGTGGTACGTGGTTCTCCTCAACTCTGAGAGTACTTTCTTCTGTATGCGTTCCTCCAAAAGTTGTTCATCGACATCTATAAAGGACATAGTAAAATATATATAATAATAAACTCTTAATACATTTCAATAAATTACTGCCTGCCTCCTCCAGAAACTCCACGGGCTCCCCATCCCTCCCCTCAACACATTCACTTCAAAATTCTCCTCATCTTATTTTCTCTTAAAGATTTACCATTTCTATCTTTTTTTGTATTATTTGTTCATTTCTCTTTATTGACATTTTTAATATGTGTACTGTTTAGCATATTTTAGTGTCCTAAAAAGAGCTACATAAATAAAATGTATGATTATTATTACATTTTATGATATTCTTCTTCTCTCTCACCTCTGTTTCTCTGTAACTTTGCTCCACAGCTCTCTCTCCAGGTTCAGTGCCTTCTGCCTCAAAGCTTTGTCCTCCATTTTTCGTTTACGACTCCACAAAAAGTCCACAAGATTCTGCGCCTTTACATCTAGACCTTTTATTTGAGCCCCTGCAGAAAAGACAACAATCACTTAAACAAAATATTGACAAAATAATGTTTTCTTAGATTCAGGGTATCAATACCACAACAAATCCACCTATGAATGAAACACACACACACACACACGCTTTTTGGAACTATAAGAGCTATAACTCACCAACATGTAACCATTTTTTGAGGTAAAAATCTCACAAGATAATTTTTGGAGTGCCCATATAAGATAGGATTTATTAACTTGTACTCACTGTGAATGATGGAGCGAGCAGCCACCTGTAGTTTTTCAGGTAAACGTAGAGTTTTCAGGTTTGTGACTCCTGGATGTTTTCTGTGAGGTGCTCCATTTAGGAAATCTGCATGAGGCTGAAGTTTGGCAGCTGTGCTCATTCCCTGGGGAAAAAGTTATTATAATGTAACTAGACTGAGGCTTGTAGATTTTGGTCATCACTATAGTAACTCACTGTACCTACTGAAAAGCCTGCATGTTTCGTTTCTGAGTGAGTAATTAAGAAAAACTGTTCTGCGAGTCACTAGAGTCACATTTTCTTTGTGTTTTGGTCATTTTTAAGCAGCTTTTCTGTATTTTACCTAAACAAATGTCAAATGCTTATGCCCCTCTTTACTGTTGGCAGGGATCAAACTGGTCAAAAATAGGGACAACTGGGACATTTCTTGTATAAAACTTGGACAAATCAATGGTTTTGGATAAATCTGCAGGAACATGGGACACAGGGCTCAAAACTGGGACTGTCCCAGGCAAATAGGGACGTCTGGTCACCCTAACCAATCACGTTTACTGCAAATTTCTCTGATCTGGTAAGATTTTAAAACTTATGTCAGGTTATTCATCTTGTTTTCAGATTTATTATCTACTTACTAGTTCTGACACTGCTTCATTCTAGTCGAGAGGTAGTTTATTTTAACATATCTTGTGAAGTAAAATTATCTTGTTGCACGGACAGATAATTTCACTAATTTTAAGTCATTTTCCGATAGATTTAAGTGTTTAAATTAAATTTTGATGAAGCTTTTTTTGCAGCGTTGTCACCCCTTTTAGTGCACAGACTATACAGAAATTCATAGACTCAGAATTGAGTGTGTATATCTTAAATATGTGAATATAAAACATCAGCAACAGCTTTACAACAAACATTTAACTTGATCAAACTATTAACATTAGTTAGGAACGATATGTGGGAAAATATGTCATTGACCTAAATACTAGTCCGAGATGCTGCAATGCAATAACAGTCTGTGCAGGTTTATTCTCCGCTGTCCCTTCAGAACTCACCACTGTGTGATGGATCACCAATTGTCCCGGCTCACTCTGTCCTCCTGATTCCAACTTCACTGGTTATTATTTATTTTTAAATGCATTCATCTCAGTTATCCTGAATATATCAAACAGTATTTAATTCCATTCAGATCCTCCTACAGTTTACTCCACGCAGAACAGATATTTTTTTGTTGTCCCAAGAGTCAAAAAACAAATAGGAAAACACTCATTTACATATAAAGCTCTCTTTGATATGAACAATCTTTCCTCATCGATTCGAGCATTAACTTCTGTCCCTTCATTGAAAAATGCTCTGGTGCAACATTTACATAACCCGTGTAATTGCTTTTTGTGACTGTATTTGAACTCTGTCTTAGTTTTGTTAAAACTGGATTTATTCTGTGTCTGAGAGTCATGTGTTAGTGGATGTGTGTGTATATGGTTGTGTTTTTTGTTGTTTTGTTTTTTCTGTGTTCAATTGAATGTATGTAATCTCCTGTCTGCCCTACTGTATCTGTCTTCTGTTGTTGTGACTATGAGGACCCCCTCACAAACGAGATGGAGCTTATCCTCCAAATACATTCAAATTCCAATGTTAGTTCCACTCACCCGCAACGTTGTCTTCACCGCAAGAACTCTGTGACAGAAACCACAAGCGCTAAAGCTCCGTAAAGCCATTTTAGGTTATTCTGATAGTGTCCTTTACTTTGGTTTAGTATGACTTTTATCTTGATTGTTCGGAATGACAGGAGGGCACATTTTCCAAGATGTGTCCTTCAACAAAATAAGTCCGTGTAGCAGCAACAGCGGAAGGAGTAAAAAGTTCCGCTAACAAAAACAGATCTGTTCAAAGCAAGAGCAATCACTCAATATACACATTAAATCATATTTGTAAAATACAGTTTCACATTCAAAAAAAGTAACTGCTAAATATAAAGATAATAAAACATTCAAAATTCCACCCAATTGCATAAATAAACTTTTGATGGCCAATTATTTATATTTATTTACTCTATCGGAGTGCTGCCTCTTCCCATTACGCGATCCTCACCGGCGCCTAAACATTAGACACAGGGAAACTTTCTCCGTCTTTTTCTCTCCTTTTTCTCCATAAATTTGTCCAAAAACGGACTCTTTTAATCCATCATGAGGCGATCAAGAAGTACAAGAAATAAGAGCCAGAACAGCGCCAGTCAAAATGGTGAAGGCGAGTCCAAAACAGGTTAGTGCGTGTTTCGTGCTAGCAAACCAGGAGAAGCTAAGCAGGCATGTTTGTTTAGGGAGACAGATTTTTATTTTATTATTTTTAAAATTATTACCTCCTTATTACCTCATTATACTGTATCGATATCATGGGCTGCTGTATATCGATATATCGCCAATAGTATTTTTAGGATATATTTTACTAAATAATTTTGTGAAAGAGCCACAATTGTGTTGCATGTTTGGAGAAAGGAAACTTGTTTATGCAGCACATAAGACACACTCACTGTTTTGAGAAGAATGGGCATTTTATATATTAACTTTGCAGAAACTTTGTAGTTTAATAAAGACTATTAATATCGCAGCAATGATGTAGCCTTTCTTTTTTACCGAACTATATCGAATTGATTTGAAATATATGATATCGAATCGTATTAAATCGAAAGTGCACTGTATCGAAAAACGTATTGTATCGGCAGCTTCTCAGTGATACCCAGCCCTAGTGCTTTTGTTTTCATGGCTTTGGGATTTGTGCAATCATTTTGAGAATTTATGTAACAGGACAAGAGAGACTGTGGGAAAATCTTTCTCAAAGGCTCCAAAAAATACATTCTTACATTAAATTGTAGGTTTGTACCAAGCTTTCTATTCACAAACAAAAACATGGGTGACCGTTTCTTCAACACCATGACAGAATAAGCAAAGATGATGTATATTTAAGCGAAATCTTAGTCTTAGTTACAAAATATTTTCCAGACAAAAGCCAAACATCGTACCATTTAATGTCTGTAAGAGTATTGCTCCAAACAAAAACAGAAACTGGTTTACTGATAGACTCCCTTGTGATTAGTTCTCTTATACATTTGTTAGTTGTCTTAGCTGGGCCATCATTAGAAACGTGTACATAAGTGGACATGATTAACATTTTCACACCAGAAGGGATGGCGTCAAAAACAATTGCATATTCTCTTAGCATTACTGGAAAATTGTAAACATTGAGAAATTAACTATAGGAATAGGTGATGCTTTCATTGTTGAACTGTTGGTGTACAAGTTTTGGGAGACAGTAACAAATGCAATTAGCTACCAGTGACATTTATTTTTGTATTTAAAATATGTGTCTAAACGGCAGCAGCTTTGGGAATGTCTTACTAGATCTGATTAATATCTTTGACATTAATTATATGTATTATTAGTTATGATAGAATGGGCTCCAAACAAACTGCATTTGTGCATTATGTTCTTAAAAATATTATTGTTTTTCTTATTATTTTGTATTTTATTTTATTATTAAGACACAAGAGTGGGTCCACAATAACAAGACTCTTACATTACATATTGACTAAATTTTTAATAAACTTATTATGCCATTCAGGTTACAAATTTGGCCTTACAGTTTTATTTTTATTTACTGAGATATAACTATATTAACTTGTTTAAAGCGACATTTTGTAGCTTTTCTGGAAAGGGTCTGCCGTTTGTTTCCATGGTGATGTTAATGCTTTGGATAAAATTGTTCACAGTATGGCATTAAACAAATCTGGCTTGCATTTATTCAACTACAGGTGTTATTTATTGCTCAAAAATATCTTTTAAAATATATAATTTCTTATTGTGAGTAGGGTCGCCTTTCCACAAATCTAACCAGTAGTTTGGCTTGCAAGTCTTCATGGAGATTCTTAAATTTATGGCCATACTGTGGAACATTCTCACCACATCTCTACTGAGACAAGCTGGTGACGAGACCCTCCACCAGACAAGCTTAACTGTGCATCTTTAAATCTGTGTGTATTTGTCAGTATGGCAGTGGAAGGGGGATGAGGACCAGTGGGAGCCGTACCCTGAGTCTGTTTGCAGAGAGCTGGACTCGGCTCTGGCTTCAGGAAAAACATCGTTCACTTTGAGTCTGGAGTCTGGGAGAGAATACGACATGGACCTGAAAAAGATGTTACAAATCAATCCGGTCACGAAATACAAGAGAAAGATCCGTGCACAGACGTTGAAAACAGGTGTGTCTTTACATAGAATTACCTTATATTAAAATGTCATTCAACAGAGGGCAGACAATAAAGATTCTAGGGATGTAGGAGTTTAGTCTTATAGTTGATGAATTGGTTGATGGTGTCTTAGTCGTCCAAAATTTGTAAACTAATCATTTCATTTAGATTATAAGGATTTATATGGCACAACAGCAGAAAGACGAAAAGGTGCATTCTGTAACTTTTCTGGTGGAGGGCCGGCCAAATATTTTTCACTATGGAGATGTTATTGCTTTGTCTGGAATGTTTCACAGTATGGCATTAAACCTTTCTATTTTCATGGAAATCAAACCAGACCAAGTTACAGGTCAGATCTGTGAAGAGGCAACTCCACTCACAGTCAGAATGCCTGTTTTTCTAAGTATTTTTGAGCTATAAAACCACCTGTAACTGAATAAATATAAAGTAGAGCTGTTTAAAGTCATACTGTGGAACATTCCAGAGCAATGACATCTGGATAGAAAAAAGGAGGTGACAGACTCCCAACCAAAAAGTTACATAGTACATCTTTAAATGTAAAAAGTCAGATTAAACTCATGATTCGCAAGTTAAATCTATTTTTATATAAATACACTGTTTCCTTGTTAATATTTTAAATTACATGTAGGCTCCAGTTACTACTTCCAACATTAATTAAATCTGAATCTTTTCTAGGTATTTTTGAGCTATAAAACCACCTGTAATTGAATAAATGTAAGGTAGGGCTGTTTAATGTCATACTGTGGAACTTTTCGAGCAGAACAGTGACATCTGCATAGAAACAAGCAGGTGACAGACCTCCAACCAAAAAGTTACACAGTGCACCTGTATTAATAATTTATATGTGATCATGTTTTAGATTTATTTACATATTTTTAACTTTGTTTTGTAAAATGATTTTCAGAAATCAAGAATGAAGGATTAGAAAGCAGTGACGTTGCTAATGGACTCGACGCGGAAATTAAAGAAGAAGAGGAAGAGACAGAGGAACCACCGGCTCCAAAGAAACGTAGAGGACCCAACAAAAGTCAAATGAAAACTAATTCTGCCCCCAAAGAAGAAGTCAAGGTCGAAGGTAAAGACTTTATTGTAATAAGACTTACAGTTATGTTCAAAATCTTTTGTACTCCAGACAGATGTTGAGTTGCTGACAGAAGTTGCTGGCCTCATAACATAGTAACTGCCTTATAAGTCCCACTCTCTCGACACTGCGGCATCTGTATGTGTCATTGGCTCCATCCTCAGCCAATCAGAAAACTTTTATAACCCAGAAAACACAAACTGCCCCAATTGTCTTACTGACATACATGCAACTGACATATGCAGTTTATTTTTGTATTTCGAGAAACCTTTGAAAATGACTTATTTTGCAATGAGGCTAAAGAAATGTAAGTCAGTTTTGGGCTTAAGAATTTTTGCCTCTTAAAGACAAAAAATATAGTTGGAATATGATGTAATATTAAGTTCAACAGAATTATTTGGTATCTTATTTGAGTTTACTTAATAAAACATTTTGAAATAAATATTAGCTTCAAAAATGAGTCTGTGGTGTGTGGTTTTAAGAATCTTTATATTTATTATCAGATCTAAGAAGCTGGGCAGGGCAAGGTCTGGTTAGTACTTGGATGGGAGACTGAGTTCTTATTAGTTGTTTTTCTTTAGGCAAGACACTTTACCCACGTTGCCTAGTATGAGTTTGGATGTTGGTGGTGGTTGAAGGGGCAGATTGTGTAGGCTGATAGTTTCACTTCTGTCAGTTTGACCCAGGGCAGCTGTGGCTGCAATAGTATCTTACTGCCACTGAGTGTGGAGTGAATGAATAATGCGATGTAAAATGTCTTTGAGTGCCCAAAAAAGCTCTTCATAAATCTGGTCCATTCACTCATTTACTTTAGCATGTGCAGAGTGAGAGCTCCTAATTTCAATAGTTGATCTTTGTCTTTTGTTGTTTACTTTTATTTTCATTTTTACCTGGCTCATAGGGAGCCTCAGATGATTTTAGTAAATTAACACAGTGTGGAGGATCTTCAGGTGTGATGCTGCCTTCCAAAGGTAAATACTCTTTCTCCTGCACAAATAGATGAAAAAGAAAAAAAAGCTTATGAGACCTGTGGTTCATATTAAGCTCTGAGCTCCAGAGTGACCTGAGGGAGCAGTGTTAAAAGTCTGTGCATGTGCAGAGGGGAGGGGGGGAGAGTGAATTCATGCTTTTTTCTTTTATTTCTTAAAGAAAACAGCAATTCAAGTGTGTTCTATATTATAATCCATACTTATAATGAGGAGAGAGGACACAGGAAGGAGTGAGGATCTGGCAGGTGAATTTTTAGTCAGACTTGCTAAAATTTAGAACAAATTGGTCACCCTCTGCAGCCCTGACTGTGGAGAGGTGAGCCCCCTCACAAGAAAAACACATATTTTCAGTGTATGTGTTCTGCAAAAACAAATACATTTCGATTGAATTGAATAAAGGAACATGGCAAAGTAAAAACATCTCTATGACATCAAGAGAGCAGAAAGCAGACTCCACTCATAAAAGGTTGCATAGTGCACCTTTCAGTGTTATCTTGAAAATGGTCTATTACGTTATTTCTAGTTGTATTTCTTCTTTTATTCTTCTTTTTATTCTTTATTCTACTTTAATTTCTTCTTTTATTTCACTTTTATTCTAGATTTATTCTGTTATTCTTCTTTTCATTCTTTTATTGTACAGAAACAGTGAAGACGGTGGTAATGAAGGGGAAGGCTCCTGTGGACTCTGAATGCAAAGCCAAACTCGGAAAGGTACATTTTGAAATGATTATGTTTTTAGTATGTTATAGGTTGATATAATTTGGGAAGTGCTCCATCGTATTTTAAACTCCACACACCTTCATTAGAATCATTTGGTTAGTTTCAGCTTTGGAATTGACAGTCTCAACAGAAAAAAATGGTAAAAAGTAGATGTTAACTTGAAAATTACCTCTTTATCACATCACAAGTTGGTACACAGCATTTTGAGCTTTGGAGATGTAGACAGACTAATAATAAACATTTACTTAAACATGTGTGAATGAAACAAAACACAACTCCAGGTTTGTTTTTGAGGAGGTAACAACATTATAACATGACCTAAAGCTCACAAGAGTCAATTTAGCGTAATATTGGACCTTTAAGAAACAACACAGTACTTCTATAACCAAAACATATTGTTTAGTTTAAAATGATTATATTATTATTATGTTATATGTTGCTCTATAAACTAAAGTTGCTGTATCTGTTTTTTACCCTCTTAAAACATAAATAAACAGATCTAGTTAGTTTCAAACCATTTGCAGTGGTTCCAAATTTCTTTCTCACTTAACTTCTGCATTCAGAGCATCCTAATCATTCACCAAAATGAGTCAAGCATGTGATTGTGCACTTCCTGGTAATTGGACAATAAAACACTTTATAATTAGATGCACACTGTTCACAGTGGTCTCATTTTGACCTCAAAAGCTGCTTATACAAGATAGTACATGTATCTGTACTGGGGCAAGACACATTTAGATTTAGATGGGAAAAAATTGGGTCACCTTTAAGTATCAATGTTTATTTTATTGAATTTTATGTTTGTCTTGTCCCCAGGCTCATGTTTACTGTGAAGGAAAAGATGTTTACGACGTCATGTTAAATCAGGTAATTAAGTGTGATGGAAATTTATATTGTGGAAAGATTTTTCTCAATATGTCTTTGTGTAAATGAACGTGATTTCTACCTTAGACCAGACCGAACATTAACATGTGTGAAGTTTCAGCTGCCACAACTGTCCCCACCTTCAGGAAACTGAGTGTTGTCTTACCTGTCCTCAAATGTAATGTACTCAGAGGGGGATGCTCTGAGGAGATGGTTAGAGCATTTTCCCCCAAAGCATCTGACATCTGAGTATTTATACAGAAATTCAGTCAACAACATTTAAGACAGCACAGTTTCCTGAGGGTGGGGACAGTTGTATCTGCTGAAGCTCTACATGTTAATGAGTGATCTGGTCTAAGGTAGAAATCACATTCATACACAAAGACAGGTTGAGAAAAATCTTTCTACAATATAAATTTCTATCACATTAAGTTACAATGACAATATCTGGCAGTGTGCGTGTTCTCTCTGCATTACTATGGCATAGTGGATATTCAGTTATATTTATTTTTCAGACAAATGTACAATTCAACAACAACAAATACTACCTGATTCAACTTTTGGAAGATGACAATTCAAAATCTTACAGCGTTTGGATGAGATGGGGGCGAGGTAATTAAAGGGTCCATATTACATTATTTTCTGATCCATGTTCTATTGTTGTTTTCTCGTCAAAAACAGACCTGGAGTTGTGTTTTGTTTCATTCTCACATGTTTAACACACAAACCCTGCATATTTAGCACGACTTCTTAAGATGAAAACACTCAGTTCCACCCTGTGATGTCATATGGTAATACAGGAAGTTCTCCACTGTGTTTTTAAATTCCACACACCTTCACTACAATCATTTAGATAATTTGAACCTTGGGATTGCTAATTTCTACTGAACTAAAGGTAAAAGGAGCTGTTCACTTGAACACTACCACTTCATGACATCACACTGTGGAGCATTTTGAACTTTGGAGATGTACACAGAGTAATAATAAAGAATTATTAATTATTATGAATAAAACAAAACATAAATCTACATATGTTTTTGAGGCGGTAACAACATTATGACATGACTTCAAGCTCACAAGAGTCAACTTCATGTAATATAGGACATTTAAAGAAATAGCACAACATTTCTATAACCAAAACATATTCTGTAGTTTAACGTTTTAATTGTTTTATTTTAGTTGGAAAAGTTGGTCAGAACAACCTGATATCGTGTGGAGGAGACCTGCTTAAAGCTAAAGATGTGTTCAAGAAAAAGTGAGAGCATTTAAATTTTAAAGGTGCACTATGTAACGTTTTGATTTGTTTGTTTCTATGGAGATATCATTGCTCTGTCTGAAATGTTCCACAGTATGACATTAAACAGCTCCACATTACATTTATTCAATTACAGGTGGTTTTATAGCCCAAAAATACCTAGAAAAACAGGTATTCTGTCTGTGAGCGGGGTCGCCTCTCCACAGATCTGACCTGTAACTTGGTCTTTTTTGGTCTTCATGAAGATAGAAAGGTTTAATGCCATACTGTGAAACATTCTAGACAAAGCAATAACATCTCCATGACGAAAAGCATTTAACGGACCCCCTACCAGAAAAGTTACACAATGCACAATTTTTTAGTTGCAGTATTGACTTCTTCTTGTGTTTTTACCCTGTAGATTTTTCGACAAAACCAAATACAACTGGGACCAGAACAGAGCGTATTTTGAGAAAGTGCCTGGAAAATATGACCTTGTGTTTATGGACTACAGCACCAATGACAAGGTAGGACTACTGTTAACACTGATATCATTGTTTTAAGGTGGACAATGTCACTTTTCTGGGGTAGGATCTGCCACTTGCTTGTTTCCATGGAGATGTTTTTGCTTCTCCTAGAATGTTACGCAATTTAGCATTCAACTAAGCTAAATCCATGGAGAAAAGAAGCTGGTGGGACCTTTACACCAAGCGACAAGTCAGTTCTGTGGAGAGAGGCACACAATAAGAATGCATGTTTTTCCATTTTTCCATTTTTAAGCAAGAAAACACAAGTAGTGAAATAAATGAGATTAGTTTAATGCTATATTGTAGAACATTACAGGCAAAGTAATAGCATCTCTATGGAAACAAGCAGGGGGCAGACCCTCAACATATAATGTTTCATATTACGTCTTCAAACTGATGGTCATGTAACAATAATTGTATCTCATTTCCTGCATTTTAAACTTGTATCATTTCAGGAGGAGAATAAAACAGAGCTGGACACTGCGGCGGTGAAGAAGCCGTCATCTTTGGACAGTAAAATCCAGTCTCTGTTGGAGCTGATCTGTGACCTGAAGGCCATGGAGGAGTGTGTGCTGGAGATGAAGTTTGACACTCGCAAAGCTCCTCTGGGTCAGTCACAAACACAGGGATAAAATCTGACTCACAGGAGCAAAAATCTTTAGGCCTGCAGTGTTCAATCATTTACATCTTTGACTCAATTTCTAATCTGGGGGACAGTAGAAGGTTGGTGGTTCGAATCCAGCGCTCACATTTAACGTTGTTAGTTGAGCGGTCAGATCCACTGGCCCACAGGTTGGTGGTGCGATTTCAGATCCTACAGACTAATGTTGTCGTGTCCTTGGGCAAGACACTTAACCTACCTCGCCCCCAGTGTCTGTGTACACTTTGTGTAAATGTGTGTGTGAATAGGTGAGCGTTTCCTTTGGATCTTGAAGGTGGAAAAGCGCTGTATGAAAATGTGAGCATTTCTCAGTTAATTACCTATTCCCCTAATGTCTAAAGAAGGCTGTCACAATATTGTGTTATTTGAAATTTCAACTTTTTTTATATTATAAATGTATACTGTGTAACTTTCTGGTGGATGCTTGTCTTCTTGGCGATGTTGTTGCTTTGGTGAGAATGTCTCACAGTATGGCATTAAACGTATCTATTTCTATGGAGATAAGTCTGCAGTGCTTCCAGGCCAAGAATTGAGCTCCATCATTGTAAGAATGCATGTTCTTCATAGTATTTTTCAGCAGTAAAACACAAAAAATTTAATAAATGCAACATAGGTGAGCTTAGTGCCACACTGTGAAACCATTCAGGCAAAGCAAAAATATCTCCATGGAATTAAGCTCGTGGCAGACCCCCTACCAGAAAAGTTACACAGTGCACATTTAAACAAAAAACAACTGATTTTATGTTGTTTAAGACTGCTTTTAATTCATTTCATTCATTCATTTCTTCGTGAGTCTAGCCACTTTATACAAATAGTGACTTTAAAATTCAAATTAAATGTAAAAATATTTAAAAAGGTGATTTGTTTTGCAGGTAAACTGACCACAGAGCAGATTCGAGCTGGATACGCTGCGCTGAAGAAAATCGAGGAGTGTTTGAAAAAGAAAGGAGGAAATCGAGAGCTTCTGGAAGCCTGTAACCAATTCTACACACGCATCCCCCATGATTTTGGGTCAGGAAAATCATAATATATATGAACATAAATGAAGTCAATACATCACTAAAATGAACTATGAACCTATTTTCAGGTTAAAGACGCCTCCCATCATCCGCACAGAGGAGGAACTGAAGCAAAAGATTGAACTTTTAGAGGTAAAATACAAAGCTGCACTATGTAACATTTGTATATTCCACACACTGTTTCATTGATACTTTCCAGTGAAATCTCGCTGAGGGGGGTTCTATATGTATGTGTATGGCAGAATGGTCAGTAGTTACCATGGTGACACAATGCACACATTGTCAAACATTGCCAAAAAATTTGAAGATAGTTGTGAGGTAGTGCCTCATTTTGGCTGTGATTTCCTGTCCTTGAGTTGAACCTTCTGCACTTCTTGTGTGTGGTGTCAGTGTCAGATCATAACCACGAAAAATCAAAGAAACCGAGCGTCATGGGCAGAAGAGTGACGCACACAGACGTGCACTATACAAACTCGGTAAATAGCAAAAATAATAAGAAGACTTTATTCCTCACCTCTTGTAAAGTGGTAAATTTAAAATGCAACATCTTATCCACATTATCCATAGAAATTGTCCTCCACAAATAATGACATCCAGTCCACAAAACCGCGCTATTAATCCAGTTTGAAGTGTTCTTTAAAAGTAAAAAGGTGAGAGTAGTTTTTCACGTGTGTCTGTTTACATCCACACAGAGCACAGATCGAGGTGAAGCTGCTGATGAGCGATAGTAACTCTAATTTCTGTGGACTTTATCACCAAACATTAATGCTTTAAAACTCATGTATCTGAAGTATTACACCACATTTCACATATAATAATAACACAGTTTTGACCTCGTATCTAAACTAGAAGTGCAGTGCTCTGATCTTTTGAACTTTGAGTCTCAAAGTGAGTGGTTTTACTGTAGATGGGAAACAGCTGACGAGATCGCGCTCACAACTTTATATCCTGTGACATATCCCGCTGCAGTCTTGGCAATCAAAGATTTTAAGTCTTAAGATTCTTCTTGTGTCTGTGGTGTGCGCTTTTTGTCACACATTTAAAAATCGTTTAAGACCAAAAAAATCCTGTTGTGTGTGGCGGCCTTATCATGTTTTAAAATTGATAAGACTCAATTTTGCATCTTCTTCTGTATCTCTCTTGTTGCAGGCTCTGAGTGACATCCAGATCGCGGTGAAGATGGTTCAGTCGAGTGGAGACAGTAATGAGCATCCTCTGGACCGTCAGTACAGGTCTTTGCATTGTGGTCTGCAGCCACTGGACCCCAACGCAAATGAATACAAGGTCAGAGACTAGACCTGACAGAAGCATTGCAGGGGCCCCACAAAGTTGGGCTGGACACAAAATATTGATAAGGCAATATATCGTGATGGACTGACGATACTTTTAAACTACATAAATTCATTCTAAATTGCAATGAGATGGTCCTTTATTCGTCCAGGAGTGATTCACTGTAGACATGGGAGTGTTTTGATTTCAAAAAACAGATGATGATGAGTCCAGATGACCACCAGTGAAACTTTCTCTACATTATTTATACATTATACAGTAAATTGCAATTATACACTTATAATATCTGTGACTACTGCATTCATGCTGAATCATCATTGCATTGTTATATAAATCCATTGTGAAATTCTTTTAAACTTTTAAAACTGGTTTTAATGGAGATCCATGTATCAGAACATGTATCATATCAACTGGATATTTAACGTGAGGTACTTTCTTTCTATGTAATATAACATAGTTTTAGTACCCAGAAAGTTGATGGGAGAGACTGTAGCAGGGCAGTGTGGGAGGAGCTACTGTCTGTCTCTGCTAGAGGAGGCAGAACAGTGTGGACAGAGGCATGAGTCGTGAGTATGCAGTGAGAGAACTCAGGAGGAAAAGAAATCATCAAATCATCCTCAAAAAAGAAAAAGTCTGATACTGTAACTCCCCTAGCAGTCTATTATAAGAGTAGACTGGCTATATTATACAATATAAAATAGCCTGAAAAAGTACTGTTCTTATTTTCACTGAATTAAAATTCTGAGCTGAGAATCATTGAACCAAATGAACTAAAATAAAACACTTCACATATAAACAACAGCTGTATAGTAGTTTTTCTGTAGTGTATGATGTAGAATGTAGGTATTGTTTCATTAACATCTAAGTGTCATTATACTCAGCAGAAAAAAAATGACATGAGATTTGTTTTTTTGCGTCTTAAAATGTATCGTTATCAAATCGATATTGTGACCCGTGTCTCAAGATATGTATGGAATCGTGGGAAAACTGTATGGGTGCATCCCTAGTAATTGGCAAGACAGATTACTTATACTTATAGGCTTAATACTAATATAACGTAATAATGTATGCAACTCTAAGGAAAAATATGATTACATTCCTAAATATAAATGTTTTTACTGTGCTTCTCTTTAGGTGATAGAGCGTTACCTGCAGACAACACACGCCTCCACACACAAAGACTACACCATGACCATCCTGGACATTTTCTCTGTTGATCGAGAAGGAGAGAGCGAGCACTTTCTCAAAGACCTACACAACAGGTTTAGTGTTTCATATAAACAAGTGTGTTTTAAGGGGTGCAGATAAAAATATAACACTAAATTGACTCAAATAATGCTAATGTTATTACCTCCTCAAAAACAGACCTGGAGTTGTGTTTTGTTTCATTCACACATGTCAGTTACATTTTACCTTTAGTTCAGAAGAGTTTGACAAATCCAGAACTGAAATCACCCAAATGATTCTAGTGAAGGTCTATAAAGTTTAAAAACACAGTGGAGCACTTTATGTATTACCACATGACATCACAATCCTTATTTTGCAGGGTTTGTGTGTTAAACATGTGTAAAACACACAACTCCTGCTGTGTTTTATTTTGATGACGAAACAACATGATATTATAGATCATAAAATAGCATGTCATTATTGTTAACATGTATTTTAACTTGTGAACATATTATTTCTCCATAGGACCCTGTTGTGGCACGGCTCTCGTTTGTCTAACTGGGTCGGGATTCTCAGTAAAGGGCTCAGGATCGCTCCACCAGAAGCTCCTTTCACTGGATACATGGTAAATTTGAACTTTAAATACATAAAAATACCTTATTTTTTAGCTTGTTTTAAAATTTTGTTGATTTTTTCTCATTTGTTTCCTTCAGTTTGGTAAAGGGATCTACTTCGCCGATATGTCGTCCAAAAGTGCAAACTACTGCTTTGCAAATCAGCAGAATAATAATGAAGGACTGCTGCTGCTCTGTGAGGTGAGTTTGAGACTTCAGATCATTTGATACTAAAACTACAATCAAACCTAGATACTCATTTGAGCAGATATCAATACTGAAAAAGTTCCATTCACAGGACACAAATGAAGCTTTCCTGAATGTCTTTAGAATGATCTTGAGCTGTATCAGAAATATAAGAGCACATAGACTAGCATACGCTCATGGACCTCTAAGGGGGAACCTACCTGGACCACTGAGGGAGGGATCACACACATATAAGACCACATGGGAATAGAAAAGAAAGTACTACCATTTAATGTTGTCATATTCTGTTGTCCTGATAAAGAGTGTTTTTTATTTTCATCGTGGTATCAAAATTGGTATTGAGTATTGAGTTACTGGGTATTTAAACGAGTTAGTGTGAAAATGTGTTTATTTAGGAGTTTATTCATAATATGACAGTTTAATCATGTATTCTCTGTTGACCTTGTATCACTGGGTTTCACAGTAATGAATGAGAGAAATCCTCACAATGTCACAGTGTAAACACATGAAAACAGCTTTACCGCATTATAACTCGTTTTCTTTTTTTCCCCCTTTTCTCAGGTTGCCCTTGGCGACAGTCACGAGCTGATAGACGCTGATTATGAAGCGGACAAACTTCCTCCAGGAAAACACAGCACCAAAGGCCTGGGCAAGACCGGACCTGACCCCAAGAACGCAGTCACTCTGTGGGTACCAGAGGCAAGGGAGGGGGTCATTGTGTTAAATACATGCAGAAACATATATTTTTTTTCCTAAAATATAAATATTGCACTGTAATTTTTGTTTGTAGTTTAAAAAAATCCACTTTAATTCATTTTCACATTCATTTGTGGTTTATGGTTAAAAGAACCAACTCCGTGAGTGACAAAAGCTTTATGTGGACAATATGAAATCATCTGAATACTTGCAGCGCTCCTTCAGACACAAGTTCGTCTCATTTTTGTATCTGTCCTTGGAAAATAGCGGATTTTGTGCATTATTTCATATTTGGTCCTTCAAATTACATTAACTTTAAATTATAAATCAGATGTTATGGCACGATAGTTACTTTTTAAGTTACTCTTACTGAGTAGTAGTTTTCCCCAATACCTTTTTACTCTTACCTGAGTCGTTTCTTGGACCACTACTATGTACTTCTACTTGAGTAATACTATTTTGATGTAATGTTACTCTTACTTAAGTAAAATTTTTGGCTACTTTACAAACTCTGCTTGTAGTATATTGTTCTAATACTTCTAATACTGACTCTCTCTCTCCTCTTCTCCCTGCTCAGAGATGGTATGACAGTCCCGATGGGTCCTGGCGTCTCCACTGGAGCTGTGAATACTAAAGGTTATTCTCTCCTTTACAATGAGTTCATCGTCTATAACCCAGCTCAGGCCAGAATGAGGTACCTGCTCAGAATTAAGTTCAACTACTCTTCTCTCTGGTGAAACTGAGGACCAAGGAACAAATCAAAAACATGTACACATACTTAGACAGTTTGCATTGGACAAAACTCTGTTGGGACTCCCTGAATTTTCTGCATTTCGTCCAGGGGCGGGACTTAGCTTTCCACATCAATCAAGGGTAACGAACTGCTTTCCATGGAGAGTGAATTAATTTTTTTATCTGCAGATGTGATTACAGCAAATATTGAAGGTCCTATATTGTGCAAAACTGACTCTTTGGAGCTTTAAGCCATGTTAAAACATTATTACCTTCTCAAAAAGATACTTGGAGTTGTGTTTTGTTTGAATAATCCTTTATTATTAATCATTGTCTACATCTACAAAGCTCAAAATCGTCTTTTGCACCTTGTGTTGTCATGAAGCGGTAATTTTCAAGTTAACAGCTACTTTTTACCTTTGGTTCAGTAGATATTGGCAATTCCAGGTCTGAAATCATCTAAATTACTTCACAAGGTGGAACAGTTTGAGGGAAGAACTCAGCCTAAATCTGCAGGGTTTGTGTATTAATCATTTGTGAATGAAAAAAACACAACTCCAGGTCCAGGTTTGTGATGAGGAAACCACATTATAATGTCATATGGTCCTTTAACGCTCAGTAACATTGACGCCATTTTTGTAGTCCATTAAATAGAGTTAACTAATACTTTTATTTATTTATTTATTTTTTTCGCCTAAAAAATTGCTGTTCACTTGTGTTAAGACCCTGGTAGCAAAACTGTCTCAGCTCCTCACTAACCCGCTCCTCACCCTAACCTTCACCTAACTGTGACAAAAATATATAGACAAAAATCAACTTTAGAAAGCATAAACGCTAATAGTCTGCAAATTATCTGCATCAACTGGAAATAAAAGAAAATGTGGATGTGTTTTTGGTACAATATTAGGTCTAAATTTGCTTTGTCAAAAAGTCAGGTTTTTTGGCTGTATGGGTGAACAGGAAACCACTGTTTAAAATGGAGTTGCCATAGTTACAGTAGAACATTAAGTCCCAGTCCTGAACAAAATGCCGAACTTTTAGGGAGCCCCAAAACCAATTAGAATTCAATAGCAAAACATAAACGATGTGTCATTTTACCAGACGACGTCCTATTCATTGCCATTTTAAAAATGGACAACATTTTGCACTATTCTCACATATCATGCCTTTTTAAACTGTAGCTTTGTGTCAATTTAAATGTTGTTTACTGGTAAAACTAATTAAAACACTGCATTTTATTATTTTGGTGATTTCTCTGTTATTAAAATGGTTCAAATCATCATTTGCGATGCTTTGGGCGTTGCAATATTGTATGTCTTGTGCCAGTGTTTTAAAATGAAGACATGTTTGTAATCTTATTTGGTGCTTGCCGTAGCTCTATACAGTCAATAAAACATAAATAAATGACAGTGTTAGATATTGGTGTGTTCAGTGAGTCTTCAGAATTTCAATGTGTTTGTACCATTCAGTCAGATCATTTTAATTAAGAGCAAGTACACAACTCTCTACTTTTCTTGTGTTTAAAAATGATTTCTGTCTACAAAAAGGGGTTTTAGACCACTATATAATATGGTTGCTTGGTAAGAGTGGAATTCCCTAGTGTAGCGTCATGATTTCCAACCAGGAAGTAAAATTTGAAACCTAAAACATGACCAAAGTGGGAAAATAATTGTACATGTTAATGCTTACATATCACTGCTCTGCTGCCATAACCGTGACATCACTATAGCAACGAGTAAACACAGTCAAATGTAGGGACTAGCTTCATTTAAGACACAGAAATAAATGATAGTTGAGACATTTACAGACAGTGGAAATTCACTTTCAGATTCACAGGTGAAACATTTCAGTTTGTAACACATCCAGCTCTAAAACAAGCACATTCGTCATAACACCGTAATAAATAAAAAACTTAACAAATGCTGTATTCTCTTCATAAATGCTGTTTTCTCTTACAAATAACTGTATTCAATAGTTTTGTTGTGAGGCTTGTGGTGTTTTCATCTTCGACCGAGCAGGTAGAGGAAGATGAGGATGATGTCGAGGTAAATGATGAGAGCTGCAGAGACGTACTCCTCCGGACTCACACGGTTATTCATACTGCCCGTCATCAACTGCACATCGGCCATCAGGAACTGACGAGGAGAAAGAGGAGGGGGAGAGAGAACGAGAGAGAGAAGGGGGACAGAGGAGACAATGAGAGAGCAAAGGAGGGAGAGGGGGAGAGAACGGGAAAGAGGGGGGAAAGGAGAGAGGAGGGGAGAGAATGAGAGCGAAGGGGGAGAGGGAGAGAGAACGAGAGCAAAGGGAGAAGAGAGAAGGCGAGAATGATGGGGGAGGACAGGGAGAGAAGGAGAGAGCAAAGGGGGAAGAGAGGGAGAGAGAATGAGAGCGACGGGGGAGAGAGGAGAGAGTACGAAAGAGCGTAGGGGTATAGAGGAGGAGAGAACAATAGAGCGAAGGGGGAGAGAAAAGGAGAGAATGAGAGCAAAGGAAGGAGAGGAGGAGAGAGAATGAGAGAGAAGGGGAAGAGCGGAGGAGAGAGAATGAGAGAGAGAAGGGGAAGAGAGGAGGAGAGAGAACGAGAGTGAAGGGGGAGAGACGAGGAGAGAACGAGGGAGAGAGAGAACAAGAGAGACGGGAGTAGAACGAGAGAGAAGGGAGAGAGAGGGAGAACGAGAGGGAGAGGGGAAGAGAGAATGAGAGAGAAGAGAATGAGAGGGAGGGGGGAGAGAGTACGAAAGAGCGAAGGGGTATAAAGAAGGAGAGAACAATAGAGCGAAGGGGGAGAGAAAAGGAGAATGAGAGAGCAAAGGAAGGAGAGGAGGAGAGAGAATGAGAGAGAGGGGGTACGGGAGAGAGAGAACGAGAGAGAGGAGGAGAGAATGAGAGAACCAAGGGGAAGAGAGAAGGAGAGAGAACGAGAGTGAAGGGGGAGAGACGAGTAGAGAAAGAGAGAGAGAGAGAACAAGAGAGACAGAGGGGAAGAGAACGAGAGAGAGAGGGGAAGAGTGAATGAGAAAGAAGAGAGAGAGGGGGAGAGAGGATAAGAGAGAAGAGAGAGAGAGCCGGGAGAGAGAGAGGGGGGATAGGAGGAGGAGAGGGGGAGTGAGAATGAGAGAAAGGGGGTGAGAGAGGAGAGAATGAGAGAGAGAAGGGGCAGAGAGAGATTGGTAAGTTTAATGGAGAGAAGCACATGACTGTACCTCCACCAGAAAAGTTCCGCAGTGCACCTTTAAATCCTGTTTAAGTGTGTTTCTTACCAGTGAAAAGAGCAACGCCCCCAGAGATCCATATGCCACCTGAGCCATGTGATAGTAATAGAAGGAGGAGAAGATCACGAACATGAACAGGTCCAGACAGAGGATGAGGAGGAGGCCATAACATACGGTGAAGTCATAACGGCTCTGAAAGAGATGAGAAATAATCAAACATAAAGAGAAATAAAAGGAATAAACCACAAGTAAACCTGAAGTATACTGGGACTAAACTAGAACTAAGGACTAAACTGGGACTGAACCACGGCTTAACCAGGGACTAAACCAGGACTAAAATGGTATACTTAGTGTTTCCAACTTGATTTCTATATTAAGGAATAGACTCAAAATTGATTCTGATAACACAATGATAATAAAATAGACAATAGAATGTGATTTTCAACATGAAATCATAAAGTGGACTGAACAGGGACATTTTGAAGTACTGGTGCACAGTGACCTCTGCTGGTTAATTTATAATATTGTTTCCTCATCAAAACAGAAAACACTCCATTCAACCTTGTGCCATACAGGTCCATTGTGTTTTTACACCTTCATCGGAATCATTTGGATCATTTCTACCCAGAATTTGACAATCTTTACTCACTAAGAAAATCTCTAAGAAATTGTAAAATGTAGCTGTTAACATGAAAACTAACACTTCATGACATCTCAAGGTGGACCAGAGCATTTTGAGCTTTGGAGGTGTGGACAGAGAGAAAAACATGAAAAAAAATCTGTTTTGTGTAATATTGAACTTTTAAACTGAAAAAATGAAAATATGTTTGGCTACATCACCGCCAGTATTCTCATAGTCATAAGTATCAGTTATAAAGCAGGTCTAAATCAGTATCAAACTTCAAGACTAGACCAGAGCTACACAATAACCCAGGACTAGACCTGTACTGAAGCAGACAAAGTGAAGTCATGAGGAAATGGCATTATAACAGATCAGAAAAAAGTGTAATATAGACCCTTTAAACATGTTTTCATTTCAGTTTCAGACCTGTGTAGAGTAGGCAATGATGCCCAGGGTGATGGCCAGAGTGGCTCCCATGGCCAGAATTACTGTCATAGTGTCGTGGTATGAGGCGATAGTCCCCACCATGTACGACAGGCTCACGGTCACCAGCATCTGCAGAGGAATATACACGCAAACAGTTAAAGCAACTGTGTGCAAGACTTTCATTTTAAAGGTGCCCTGTGTGACATTTCTTGAGGATGATTTGCCACCTGCTTGTCTCCATGGAAATGTAATCTTAGAATGTTCCACACTATAGACAGAACCTATCTATCACAAGGGTCTCCCCTATTCACAGAAGGAATTACTGTATTTTTTCAACAAGAGAAATGAAACATAATAAATAAATGCTAAATGGAAATGTTTAATGTCATACCATGGAAGATTCCAGCAAAGCAATAACATCTCCATTGAGATAATGGACCCTCCACCAAAAAGATAGCACACTTTTAAATTTCACAAACATTACCTATTTTGTAAAACTTCTAATGCTGATTTATTGTTAATTACAAAAACATTGGACATGATGACCAAGTTGTTTAGGTTATAATTTGGTGTTTTGGTTCAAGACGATTATCCAATCAGAAAGCAGAATTCAATGCTGAACTTTAAGCCTAAAATGCCTTTCTGATTTGAACGCTCTCTACCTAAACCCCACCTCCTGTACCAGTCATGAGTCACGGCTAGTGTAGCCTCTGCTCCCCAAGGAGGGAATTCTGGAGGTTCTGAGATTTCACATGACGAATGACCTCACCATATACTGAGAAACCTGTATGTGTCGTCTATCTGCAGGTTAAGGCTCTGGGAACACAGGTTCAGTTATAATAAATAATGAATATCTTCTTTATACTTTTATACTTTTTATACTATACAAGCGCAGGCTACAGACAGTTCCATTAACCAACAGGAAGTTATAAAAATCTGTGAAATAACAAGCATTTAAGTGGAACTAAACACTAAATCCACTTCCAGTTGTAAAACAGTCAAAAACTGTTTGCTGCCCCAGTGGGCTCTGCAATTTCATGTATTGTGTCCAGTATGACTCAAAATTGACTTTTGTGAACTTTAAAACAAGTTATGGTATTTCCTCATCAAAAACAGACCTGGAGTTGTGTTTTGTTTCATTCACACATGTTTGAGTAACTCTTTATTATTAGTCTGTCTACATGTGCAAAGCTCAAAATGCTCTGTTCCACCTTGTGATGTCATGAAGCGGTAGTTTCCAAGTGAACAGCTACTTTTACGTTTGTTCAGCAGAGATTGACAATTCCAGCGCTGATATGATCCAAATGATTCTAGTGAAGGGATGTGGAGTTTAAAAACACAGTGAAGCACTTCCTGTATTAACACATAACGTTTTTTGTCTGAGAAGAGTTCAGCCTAAACATGTGTGAATGAAACAAAACACAACTCCAGGTCTGTTTGTGATGAGGAAACAGGTGACGGAGGCCCAACCAAAAAGTTCCATAGTGCACCTTTAAACAACATTAGTATGGGGTTTTCTTCTCACCAGAGCAATGAGGTTCCATGGGTGTCTTCTGTTCAGGGATGTACAGAGGCTGAGAGGAAGCGCCACCACAATGAATAAGATGTAGGCCGAGACATAAACCCAGATATCTTTCTGGACCAGCTTCTTCACTGTCTCCGAGAACGTGAAGATACAGACCACAGTGAAGGTGAAGAGCAGCTGAAGGAACACCAGACAGAACACCTGCAAGGACCACAGAGACGAGTGGAGGAAGAGGGTTAAAATAGGATTAAACCAAGACTAAAACAGGACTAAACTAGGACTAAACCAGAAGTAAACCAGGACTACAACAGGACTAAAGCAAGATTAAATTGGGACTAAACCAGCACTAAACCAGCACTAAACCAGGATTAAACAAGGACTAAACCAGAACTAAACCAGGACTACAACAGAACTAAATCAAGATTAATTGGGACTAAATGGGACTAAACCAGCACTAAACCAGGAGTAAATCAGGACTAAAAAACAGGACAAAACCAGGAACAAAACCAGGACTAAACCAGGACTAAAAACCAGGACTAAACCAGGGACTAAACCAGAACTAAACTAGGACTACAAACCAGGACCAAACCAGAATTAAACTAGCACTAAACCAGGACTAAACACCAGGACCAAACCAGAACTAAACCAGGGACTAAACCAGGACAAACCCAGGGACAAAACCAGGAACTAAACCAGGGACTAAACCAGAACTAAACTAGGACTAAACTAGGACTACAAAGCAGGACCAAACCAGAATTAAACTAGCACTAAACCAGAACTAAACTAGGACTAAACCAGGACTAAAGACCAGGACCAAACCAGAACTAAACCAGGGACTAAACCAGGACAAACCCAGGGACAAACCCAGAGACAAAACCCGGGACAAAATCAGGGACTAAACCAGGGACTAAACCAGGGACTAAACCAGGGACTAAACCAGGGAGTAAACCAGGACAAAACCAGAACTAAAACCAATCAATTCTAAACCAGGACTAAAACAGAGCTAAACCAAAACTAAACCAGGACTACACCATGATGAAACCAGGACTTACCTTACGTATAAAAGCCCTCCTCACGGTTTTGTCTTCGAAAGCAGATGTTGTGATGGCAGCTGTATCTGCTGCACAAAAATCTGGGTTTGGTTCAGGTTCTGGGAAGGTCTGGTACAAACCCGGCTCTCCTGCTTTCTCAGGCGGGTACGCGCTTGGATTCACTGCAGAGTATGGAGGAGGTTCAGCCTGGACTATATCTGGATTAAATCCATAACTTGGACCAGGATTTTGATCAGGTTTTTGATCAGGATTCAGATCGGGATAAGGAGCAGGATCAGGGCCAGGATAAGGATCAGGACTTGAGGGGGTCTCTGTGGATTGTGGGTATTGTGGAGTGGAAGGCGGCAGCCCAGAGAGAGCAGGGTCCTGAGATTCAACCACTGGGTCGGACATGATTAGGAGAACTAGAAAAGAAGATCAAATTATGGTGAAAATGTGAAAAACAACAATGGAAACTTGAATCTTCTGCTCCATCGGACCCTGTCCTCTGCACCCTCTGCTTCAGGACAAATCAAGGCCCAAACCAGGACTAAACCAGGGCTAAACCAGAACTAAACCAGGATTAATCAGGGACCAAACTAGGACTAAAACAGGACTAAAGTAGGTCTTAAGCAGGACTGAATGACGACTAAACCAGGACTAAACAAGGACCAAACCAGAACTAACCCAGGATTAAAGCAGGTCTAAAACAGGATTAAACCAGGACTAAAATAGAATAGGGATAAACCAGGACTAAACTGGGACTAAAATGAGACTAAAAACCAAGATTTAACCCAGGACCAACCCAGGACTTAAGCAGGATTTCATTAGGACTAAACCAGTATCAAACCATGGCTAAAAGAGGACCTAAACCAGGTCTAAACCAGGATTAACTCAGATTAAACTGGAGTCCAAACCAAGACTGAAAACCTGCAAGAACACCTGGGTGAGAAAAACTAAAAGAAAAGATAAAAGTATGGCTCCAGACACTCTCCTCTGATTCACCTGATTTTGTCCTCTGCATCCTCCAAATTTGCACTAAATCAGGACCAAACAAGGACTAGACCAGGACTAGATGAGAACTAAATGAGGTCTTCATCAGGACTAAACTAGAACAAGAAAGGACCTAAACCATACAGCAGAACTAAACAATGAATAAGGAAGGACTAGACCAGGACTAAACTGCCTGTCATTTTGGTTTCATTTATTGCACTGGAAAAACTTGAGTGAGCTTACATTTCCACAAACCTGACCCTGCTTGTTTCCATGGAAATATTGTTCTTTTGACTATAATCTTTCATAGCATTTATGTATATCGCTGTGGAGAATGTTCTGAAGCATGGTTTTAACTTTTGTTTCCACTGTACCTTTGAACAAAATACAACAAAATATCTTCACAGTATGGCGTTAAACCTTTTTTTCTTCAGAGACCAAACCAGACCAAGTTACAGGTCAGATCTGTGGAAAGGCAACCCTGCTCACAGTCAGAATGTTTGTTTTATGAATATTTTTGAGCTATAAAACTACCTATAATTGAATAAATGTAAGGTTTTGTAAGTGTAATGTCAAATTGTGGAACATTTCCAGAGAGAGAAATGACATGTCCATAGAAACAAGCAGGTGACGGACCCCTAACCAAAAAGTTACATAGTGCACCTTTAAGTGTTTTTAATCTAGAAATTAATTTTAGTTTTGGATTAGTCATAAATGCTTTAAAATAACTCACCTTCACAGCAGATTATGAGTAACAGTCTGTCTCCTCACCTCGCAGTAAACCCGTGTGAAAAGCAGAAGTGTGGGCTTTTATTGTGGGGAGTTGTGGTTTGGTTCACTTCCGGCTTCTTTTGAGTAAGGGCCCTGAGAGGCATGAATACAGACTTTAGAGACTCCACTATTGCACATTTGGTTTGAAGGAGGAGGTTAAGAAACATGGGGGGACTTGGCTGAATTTACACATTTACAACATCTCCTATAGACCGTAAATGTACTAACGTATATCTGTAATCACTCTGTTAGATGGCCTATATTACACTATTTTCTGATCTACCTGATGTTATAATGTTGTTTCCTCATCACAAACAGACCTGGAGTTGTGTTTTGTTTCATTTACACAAAAAAGAAAACACTCTCTATACAACTTCACTAGAATCGTCCTGATCATTTTCTACTAAACAAACGATAAAAGGTAGCTGTCAACTTGGAAACTATAGCTTCATGACATCACAAGGTGGAACAGAGGATTACTCAAATGTGTGTGAAAGAAACAAAACACAACTTCAGGTCTGTTTTTGAGGAGGAAGCAACATTCTAACATGGCTTAAAGCCCACAAGATTCAATTTTGTGTAATATAGGACCTTTTAACCACTAATGGACTATATTAACCTCAAAAGACAGATTTGTTCTTCTTTCTTCTTTTATTCTCATCGTCTACCATCTAAAAAAGGGAAGTTGTTTTCATGTGAACATGAAAACAAGAAGGCAAAGAACAAGGCAAAGAACAAGAAGGCAAAGTTATGAACCACTTACACAAAAACTGAAACGAACTAAATCAGATCTGAAGGAGTGCTGCAAGAAACACAAATGTTCAAATCATTTCAAACTGTCACATAAAGCTTTTGTCACTTGTAGACTTTCTCACAATGGGAAGAGGAACCACAACTTTTACACACATACAAGTTCTGGTACTTAAATTTAAAAAATATTTCACAAGTAGGTGTAAATGTATGCTGCTAAAAAAGTCACTCAGAGTTAAAGGCCCTATATTACTCAAAATTGACGCCTGTGAGCTTTCTCAAAAACAGACCTGGAGTTGTGGTTTGTTTCATTCACACATGTTTGAGTAACTCTTTGTTATTAATCTGTCAACATCTCCAAAGCTCAAAATGCTCTGTTCCACCTTGTGATGTCATGAAGTGGAAGTGAACAGCTACATTTGACCTTTAGTTCAGTAGAGATGGGAGATTCCAAGGCAGAAATGATCATTGCCTCCATGGAGCTGTTATTGCTTTGCCCGGAATGTTACACCATATGGCATTATAGGGACAATTCGGAATTTTGGACATAGGACTTAATTTCCTAGTGAGCCAGTGTTGGAAATGTGTGGAGACACTTGTTTCAATATTCTACCCAGTCCTTGTATTTGCAGAGGTCGCTGGTGCTAGGCTAGCGCATGTCAATGGCCATAGTTAACCTGCCACTAAAAACAGTCTTACCCACTCCACAAAGCAAAAACGCAAATCTATTATTACACCAGACTGTCCATGTAAATGTCTGTGTTGATAGAATAATGTTTAAAATAAAACTAACCTCGCATCACATGAATCGTCGCATGTTGAGGGACTATTTTCTCATATATCAGTCCGCCACTGCCAAGGAAGTACAACTCACTGCTACTGCTCAGTCATAAATCCTTCAAATGCAAGGTTGGTTTTACTTCTAAAATTATTTTATCGACACAGACATTTACATCGTCTGGTGTTATAACTGTTTTGAACTGAGTGCTTTGTGGAGTGGGTAAGACTGTTTTTAGTGGCAGGCTAACTATGTCCATTGACATGTGCTAGGCTAACACCAGCGACCTCTGCAAATACAAGGACTGGGTGGAATATTTTAAAAAGTGTCTCCACACGTCTCCAACACTCTGACTATCTAGGAAATGAGGTCCTGTGTCCAAAATTCCATACTGTCCAAGGGGACATCCCCAAACCAGGTTACAGGTCAGGTATGTGCAGAGGTGATGTCACTCACAGGAAGAATACGAGAAAACGTTGTTTTTTTACATCCAGCTTTTCTACACGTGTGCAGTGGCTGGTAGACAAAAAGTCAGTGGGGCCGCTCGGTTGTGTTGACAGTTGTGTTGCGTATGTCTGTCATGAGATAACTCGTTTTAGTTTGAAGTAGGTTTTGCATTTAATTGTTTTGACATGACTTCATCATCTTACTCTAAGTCACTGAATGTTGAGGATCAAAAACGATACTTGTTGACGGTGTCGACTTGTTGATACGGACGCTTTTTGCCTACCAAAATGGCTGCAGCCCGGACGTGATGTCATCGTGTTTTCTCTTATACAAGGACTGGATGGAATATGTTAAAAAGTGTCTCCACACGTCTCCAACTCTCTTGGAAAACTAGGAAATGAGGCCCCATGTCCAAAATTCCAAACTGTCCCTTTAAACTTTACCAAGTACTTCACCAAGGGGACATCACCAAACCAGGTTACGGGTCAGGTCTGTGCAGAGGCGACCTCACTCACAGTAAGAATCTACAGTATGTTTCTCAGAGTGTTTTTGATCAATGAAAACACCTGTATTTGAATAAATGCTCAGCTAGAACATTTCAGGAAAACAAATACATCTCCATGGTTTCAAGCAGGTAGCAGACTCCAATAAAAAAGTGACATAATATAACTTTAAACAGTACAAAGAATGTAACTGAATCATTTTGCATTTATCACACATATTTATTGTAAAAAATACATATAAAAACAATTTGAGACATACAAAAGATTGGAGCTTAGAAACAGTATTGAACTGACAAAGACCAAGCCATTTCTCGCATTATATATTTACATTTCAATAAATAAAACTCAAATATTTTTAATAAACCAAAAGGAAGAAAATAAGAAGAAAAGATTGTCCATTTTGGGGCTGCAAATGCCGCTGTAACAACTTATCTATAATACATATCTGGTGGTTTGGAAACTCCCGGAAGTTTCGAAACCAAAAGTGAAATTGAAAAATGCTAATGTTGCTAATATTGTTTTGTATGGAGAGGAGCTAGCATTAGTCTATAGTATACAGAGCCTATAGCTGAATTATTGGTAGGTTTTTAAGGTATTGCACCACAGAGAAAAGAAAGGGTCAAAGAAATAAGGAAAAATGTGCGATTTTAAGGCTGTTTACACAAGAATGCATTTCAATGTCGCAGTTTTTCCTTAAGTGAATTTCTATATTTCATTTTCATTTTGGTTGCATTTATGTGTTATTAATACTGCTTATACAATTATTAGCATTTTATTAATTCTACCTTGCGTCACCCCGTTACCTTTGTATTGAAACTGTTGAGAGTGTCGAGATAAACAGTTCTTGAATGTGCAATGATTTTGAAAAGCGTATTTCAACACAGTGGTTTTCAAATTCCTCAAATCTGCAGTGACTGTCGTACTTGCACACACTTTTCAGTTTTAAATTCAAGGGTTAGACTTGGTTAAATTTTGCACTAGTCCGGGGTTTAGTCATGGACATGTCTGATCTGGTTTAGACCTGGTTTAGACCTGGTTAAATTCTGAATTAGTCCTGTTTTAGACCTGTTTACATCCCAAATTAGTCTGGGTTTCGACCTATTTAAGACCCGGTTAAACCCTGAATTAGTCCTGGTTAGACCTGTTTTAGACATAGTTAAATCTTGGTTAAGATTTGGTTTAGACCAGGTTAAATTATGAATTAGTCCTGGTAAGACCTGGTTTAGATCTAGTTCAGTCCTAGCTAAGACATGGTTAAGACCTGGTTTAGACCTGATTAAATCCTGAAATAGTCCTAGTTTAGACCTGGTTTAGACCTGGTTAAATCCTGAATTAGTCCTGGTTTAAGCCTGGTTTAAATCCTGAATTAGTCCTGGTTTAGACCTGATTACATCCTGGATTAGTCCTGCTTTAAGCCTGTTTTAAATCCTAGTTTAAACCTGATTAAATCCTGAATTAGTCCTGGTTTAGACCTGATTAAATCCTGGATTAGTCCTGGTTTAAACCTGTTTTAAATCCTAGTTTAAACCTGCTTTAAATTCTGAATTAGTCCTGGTTTAGACCTGATTAAATCATGAATTAGTCCAGGTTTAGACTTGATTAAATCCTTAAATAGTCCTGGTTTAGACCCGATTAAAACCTGAATTAGTCCTGGTTTAAACCTGATTAAATCCTGAATTAGTCCTGGTTTAGACTTGACTAAATGCTGAATTAGTCCTGGTTTAGACTTGATTAAATCCTGAAGTAATCCTGGTTTGGACCTAGTTAAATCCTGAATGAGTCCTCTGCTAGACCTGGTTAAATCCTGAATTAGTCCTGGTTTAGTTCTGTTTAAATCTTTGTCAAATTTCGAATGAGTCCTTTTTAAATCTACATTTAGACCTGGTTAGTATCGGAATTACCCACATTATTAATAACACAAAGTGACCATGAAAACAAGACATTTTCTATTTGAATAGTCTGAAAACCACTAATTCCAGACAACTGCTTTAGGTAGAAGGTAGAATACTGAGATTAAAATGCAGCCAAAACTGTTTCTATGATTCTTCCCCATTGCGAGATGAGGCCAAAACACCAGAGGTTTACTCAAAGTCACCTATATATATTCTAAACTGTCTGTAATAATGAAAACTTTACATTTTAGCAATTCTTGTGTTAGCAGCCCTTTAAGATTGTCCATTTCTTTACAATTTCTTAACCACATTGCTGACCCCGCCCTCCTCAATTCAAATTACAAAATATAAAAACAGGTAAACCAACCAACCCGCCCACCCTCCACGCCAAAAATTACAACATCAAAATTCACCACAATTATTGAACAATGATGACCGATGCATTTCGCTACGTCTTCTTCTTCCTCTCAAAATGCCCACACTAAAAAAATTTGGCATTAGTTATATTGTATTTCACTGTATAGTCCACTGTGAAACTCCCTCCTCGCAACAAAATTGAGGGAGAATGCGATCAAAGCCAGCTCAAAAATCTATAAATCCACGGTTCTGTCTTCTACCAGTTTGAGGCAACATCCGTATGGCCATTTTAAAGGTGCACTGCGTAAAATTATTTGGTTATGCGATCTCCATGGTGACTACAAGGTTCCTAACTGTTGGGCCAGAAACCAAAATAGGGTAAAATTT